ATCATGTTGATAACTTGATTCATTATAAAATAAAGGGATGCCTCAATTACATTGATTATTGAGTGAAGGAAAGGAAAATTGGCTGAGATTTTTCACATTTCAAAAAAAAAACTTTGAAAAATTATGTTATTGGACTTCCTGATGTTAAGTGTTGCTGCTGTATTTCAGGCGTTGACGTCAGTATGAACACACATCTGAAGGCAGTAAAAATGACGGTTAAGAACAGAGACCCAGTCCAGATAGACACACTGAGTATACGCGGCAATAATATCCGTTACTTCATCCTGCCAGACAGCCTGCCTCTGGACACACTCCTGGTTGACGACACACCCAAAGCCAAGGCAAGGAAGGAAAAAGCAGGTCTGTGGCATATATAATTTTGTGTGTGTGTGTGGAAAAAAGTTACTAGGCCTATGATGTATGTGTGTATAGTAAGTGTTTGGATGGGAGGAAAAGGAGAAGGGTTTATGAAAGAAATAACCAAATCTGCATTTATTCAACATGCATATTTGATAAAATATTGCAATGATATGTTTCATATATCCAGATGAAAAAAGATGATCTGACAGTCTTTAAATCTGTAGTGAAATGCCTTGTTGTTTTCCACATTTGTTAATTTTTACAGACTATTTAAAAATAATAATCACATGCCCTAATTAGCACTAGAATTTTATTAACTCATATTGTTTTCATGTGCTCCAGGTATGGGCAGAGGGCGTGGCAGAGGGAGAGGTGGCCGTGGTGGTAGAGGAGGGAGAGGCGGCCCAGGTGGAGGGCGTGGGAGAGGCAGGCGGTAAACTGAACATTCCTACATGCATAGACTTAAGTGCTTTAAGAGACCTGTCTTACGGGTTCTTCAGGACTTTCTCAATTGGTGATTACTTACGGATGTTCTGGATGACTTGTGTATCAGAATAAAAGATCACAAGTTATACTGTTGTAAATTGGAAGTGATGTGAAGAAAGATCAAAAAGGGAAAGATGGAATACGGATCATGTATTTCTGAAGAATCATCATGCAAGTTGAGAATGATTTGTTTGTGCGGCAGAGACATTTGTTATAATGCCTGCTGATGGGAGATCTAGTTGACAGAATAGACATAATTTTTCTAGGAGAGCACAGAACCTTTGTTAACTTCAAGGTCACTTTGACATCCTGAAAGACACTATGCTATCCCTGCATGGGTCAGATGACTACTGTTATAAAAGTAAATGTTGAACATGGACCTCTGCATACGTGTGTTGAATTTGAACAGGTGACTTCTCTTGATAAACAAATGTACAGATTTTATAAGATGTGTAGTAAAGATTCATTTTACAGTTTTGTTTGGAGTTATTTTGTTTGTGGGCAGTGTGTGCAGTCAGGATATTTGTTTGTAAACGGAAGGAGTTCAATTTTTTTTTTGAAAAGTTTCTATCCGAGAATTAATATCCTTTTTCTCTGAAAACATGCAAATCTAAGCAAACAGAAAAAATATGGATATTTCACTTTATTTACAAAATATACATCTTGACAATAATGATAATGATTCACCATGCAAGCATACTCTGGTTTCAATACGGATATTGCTTGACAAGTTCTATAACTGCACTGCAACAAAAGTACAGTATTAAAGTATGTCAATATATTTGCAGTGCTAAAACCACTTGTCTTTCTATTACATTACAACACGGATCTGTATAGATCCTGAAATGAATGCTTTACATGATATAATGTTAAATATGATATTTTACGCTGGTTTAAATATGTTTAGAGCAGTCCCATGGTCCCTTTCATTTTAAAAGGTATTATTGTCCCGCTCCTCCAGTGTTTATTGTTTGGACAATGTTTACACTGTTTCCGTGTCACCCATTAGTTTGGTTATGATTGCATATAAAAGAAAAAAGGTACATTTCAATGGTGACTCCATGCCATGCCCGGCCTCTCTCTCTTTCCTCAAATATTGACTTAATAAATCAAAGAAAAAAATTAAACTGTTTCCATGACTCCCCATGGATTTGGTTGGTGACTGGCCATGCGCATTTGATTCCAAGCCTTCCTGTGCGTCTTCAGTCCCATCTCTGCAATTTCTACCTTCCTCTCCCAGCTCTTTACTTTCTTGTGCATCTCGTACAGGTCTGCCCTCTCGCGGACATATTCCATCACCTCTGGCACGCGATAGTCACCAAGCTGTGTGCGGAGCTTGCGATTTATCTTCTCTGCACCTGCTCGGTCCTGGAAACCAGTTGATAAGATTTTTTTAGGCTTTAACTTACATGCACACACACATACACATGTTAAAGCAGAAGTAAAGTAATATACAAAATACTTATAGTATGGACTTTCAGAGCATTATTAGGTTTTCATGAAAGTAGTACAATTCAACCAATGTTGCTGCAATGAAAAAAAGAACATATTAACTGCTCTTCTTTAAATCAATTTTATATATATTTCAACTACTTTGCTAAAGTCTGAAAAAAGATAAAATTACCGTCTCTACGGTGACTGTTTCACTGTCAATTCTGGCCAACAGATCATTTCTTGATGCAATTTCAGCTTTAAGTCTCGTTGACTCCAGAGTTAATGTGCTGAGTTTTTTCTGAAAATAACAAGACAATTAATTATGATACCTTATGTCAAATGTTGCTTGAGGAATATTTTGTATTTCTTTATTTAATTTTTTCCTTTTTTTTAAAAAAATTAATTTTTCTTTTGTTTTGATTCCATGAATGGTCAGAGAATGGTCTTTTCAGTTCTTTTAGAAAACTTGGGACACAAAGCCACCTACATAAATTCCAAATGACTGCATAGCTTAAAAGATGGCCATGATGTTAAAAATGTCTGAAAATCAAACGTGCACCAAATACCAATAAGGCAGTAACTACAGAGTTGACATATTATATCATCTATTGCTTACCTTGTATGTGTTGAGCACTTGCAGTGTATTTCCTGCCATCAGTTTAAGTCTCAGGAGGTCCTGGTTTCTCTCGTCTATCTTTTCCAAGTACTGGGCATTCTCAATCTTCAGCTGATTAAAGTCCACTTCATGTAGAACCTCACCCATCTCCTCTTTCTATTACAAATACATCCAAGGTTTGTAAAAATACAATTAAATGTAGTGGAATGATGTAGTTTATATTTAAATATCATTTCATGACTCAAAAGAGGAGCAGTTTAAAAATGACCAGATTTTACAGTAGCAAAATAAAATTACAAATGTATAAAAATAATTATAACAAACTTAGGATGATAAAAGAACATCAATAAGTAAAAAAATAGGACAAGCCACATGTGAAATATTTTTCAAAAGTCGAATCTAATAAAAAATTTTACATGCATGTTCATGTACTAGTAGCTTCCCCCATCCCCCACCCCACCCTGACAAATTTCTTTACAATTAGGTTTCTATGACTACATTCACAACAAGTTGAGCCATGGCTATACAAATCCACGAACTAAATATGGCAGACGTACATGAAAGAAAAACCGCCTAATCTTTTAATAGTCTCTCCGCCTCACACACGCCTCCCCCCTCGTCGTCCCTGCGGGGGTACAGCCATTAAATCTCGGCTCCATTGGGACAACACATGGGGAGGCGTGTGAGAGGCGGAGAGACTATTAAAAGATTAGGCGGTTTTCCTTTCATGTACGTCCGCCATATTTAGTTCGTGGCTTTGTAGAGCCATGCCTCAACTCGATGTGAATGCGGTCTATAATTCACTTGATCCACTGCCATCATCATTTTATATAATATTATGATTAGGAAACAAAACTTGTTGCATTTACATTTGACAAATGTCTGTCAAATTAGTGGTCCATACCTGTTTCAGCTGCATTGCTAATTTTTTCTTTTGGACTTTCAGCGTTGAATTCTTCAATCTGAGCTTCTCGATAAGTGTGTCCTGAAGTGATGAAAATCATAATATTTGTAATGTGAAAGTCTTCTTTTCAATTTTTGAAGTCCCAAGATAACATCAGAATTTTGTTTAACCATTTTGCCTTATGTTAAAAATAGTACAAAAATTTTATCTTATTCAACTTTGGTTTAAAAAAGCTAGGGTGGCCCCAGCACCTCAAATTTTTAAGCAATGCTAGGTTTTAACATCAGCTTTAGAAACAATGACAAAAAAGGCAATTATGAGGTATATGTGAAGAATCTCACCCTAGCTCTGATTTTGTCTTCCAAATATTTGAGCACTCTTTCAGAGATCACTTTTCCTGTTCTTGTGTTCACTGCCCCTTTAACAATATCTCTCTCAAATTCATAGGAGGCTTTCTTGATTTCATTTATTCTGATGTCTGCCTCCTCCATGATGGCCTACAAAACAACAAACAAGAATAAGATAATAATAATATAGAAGTTAAGATGTATTAAAATATTCCTTCTGTATAGTCACAGCCTTTTTTTTTTAATATTTAGTGAAAATTGTTTATATTTATCATTTTCATTTCAAACTATATATATATATATATATATATATATATATATATATATATCACATTTTTATATGACATTGCTTAACCTATATGAAACTTTTGCACAGAACAGTTACATTCCCAGGGTTTCCACTAGATTTTGCTTGTAAGGGTCATTTTGACCCCCACTTTTTAAAAATGGGAGTCATTTTCAAAATTTATAGGTCAAGAATTCATAAGTTCGAAATAATATTGAAATAAATATTTAAAAGGAATAAAAGCAACAAAAGTCATAAGTGTTATTTATTATCAGTTTTTTTTTTTTTTTTACTTCCTTCTGTTTTTGTCAGCTTTGAATTTTGCAAGGGCAGCACCAAAATTAAACTCTTTCAGTTTTGGCCCCTCTATGGAAAGTAACATTAACCTCTCCACATGCTCTGCACTTAATCTGCTCCTCGATTTTGTGTAAATTATGTTTATACAACTAAATCCCCTTTCACAAGGCACATGACTAATTGGGATAACCAGTGCAATAACAACCAACTTGCAAAAGAATGGATACAAATCTTTGTAGTCAACTGTTAACACATGCTAAAAAAAAACATGCTAAATTCATATGCCTGTGAACATGTGCAAGTTGCTAGAACATGGGGTACTCTGCCACCAGACCATCCCTATCGATGACAGACCTTATCATGTGAAAGCTGTAGGTGACCAGGGTCATTGAAAGAATGTCACTAATGGAACTTTCTGAACTTTACTGACATTTACAAAAAAACAAGTAGATAGTGTTACACTGGGGACTGAGATAAATGTGCGTCAAATGGACGCAATACATTTTAAATTGGGGGTCAATTTCGATGAAACAGTGTCAGGGACACACAAAAATTGCGCTAACAAGAACCCTGATTCCATATTAGAACCAAATAACCCAAATACAGCAAATAAATAAATAATCAAATAAATAACGACAACACCCACCCTATATGTGTCAAGAACACGTTCAGATTCATCTTTCAGTCTGTCAATATCTTCCCTTAATTCCTCAATCTCCCTCTGTGCAATATCACACTTCTGTTCTGCTGTCAGTCTCAGACTTTTGTCGACATGGCTGCTACGTGATTTGGATCGTTTTCTTCCAATTCCACGACCCCCAACATCATGTTGGGATTGGGACGGAGCAGCGTTGACAGAGAGTTGGATACCTTGGAGCTCTTTTGGTTCAACTCGTTTGAAGAACTTTTCAAACATCTGTGTTTCTGCTGCCAGAACCTCATTGGCACGCCTAAAATAATGATCAATGATAAATGTATTGATTGTTAACAATCACGTGTAATCTATCCAAAAAAACATTCATTTTTACCTTCAGGTAGGCACTGGATGATTTAGTATACGGGTTTTTACAACTTTAATGACAGATGCGTTGAAAAAAGTCATAATTGCGAATAAATATTATTATTATTTCCGAAACGAAATTCATAAAATAAATGAAGATGAGACAAAGTGTAGAAATTCGCCACGGATATGAAGGATATGTGTCCCTCTCTTCAGACAGTTGATCCATATAACTCTGCATGTAGTACTTACAGAGTTTCATCTAACAGTCTGTCCAACTCATCGTCTGTTAACTCCTGCAGAGGATCATCGTTAGCCTCATTACTGGTGTCAACACTCATCGTCTCTGACTCCGCCATCTTTGCTTCTTTGTGGTCGCTATGGAAATCATCCGGGTGTTTAACAACACAAGAGAAAGCTTAACATATTAAACAGAGATATTAAGGATGCTTTCTTCATAAAATATAGAAAAATCGCAGTGTGATTAAAGAAAATCTAATTTGTGTTTGTTTATCTCATTGTTTGAAGGAAGACATTTACATATACAAAGAAGCCTGTCATGTTTGGAGACCTCTATTAGCAGAAGACTCATTGCTCAGCAGAGGGGTTGCTGTATTGGTCGGAAACCGGAAAATGTCACGAGCCTCGTTGTCGCCTCGCGGGTACCATCCTGGGACGCCATATTGGAGAGTCGGTTGACCAGTATGTCGATATCTAAACCTGTCCAGTGAAGTTCGAGGACACCTAAATAAGCCGGACTCAACATTAATAAGTACACTGAACTTTCATCTAGCCATTATTGCTTCTCTAAGACCCGAACCTTTCTGAAATTAAGGCTCACAGAGACGGGGAAGAAAGGGATGTTGTTTGGTTGTCAAAAAGCACGTTTCTATTGACAGGACAAGGGAAGACTCCATTTCAATCAAAATTGTGTTAAAAATAGCGCTGTCGGCGTACGGTCAGTTTATACGGCCTGCGGTGATATTCAGGAGAATATTCACCAATTTCCATTTGACATTTAAGGTGTGTCGGACGAGCACATCGAAGAAATTGCTGTGTACCATGCCCCTTCCAAGTAGGGCTCGAGTCTACGCCGACGTCAATACGCACAGGCCACGAGGGTACTGGGATTATGAGTCACACGTGGTGGAATGGGCGTACGTATACCCCTCTCAACCTTGCTTATTTCCTTCCCATACTAATCCATTCCTGCTATGACCCATCCTTAAGTGTTTTCAGTGACCTTTTTAAGAATACCCCAGACCTATCCCAAAATATGGTTACTGTGATAATGTTATTCTCACTATCATATTAAGTGTGGGTTTCAGTCTGATTTTAATCTTTAGCTAGACCACATATGTGATCAATTTTGTCGGAACACTTACTAACTCAGACCTATGTAATTTGTACTAGACATTGAAAATATCCCCACCGTTATTGATTTTTATTTTTATTGCCTTGAATGTAGTTGTGAGTCCCATACAGTAGAGTCTACAATTCAAGTGGATGTAAATCAATTATTCAGCCATAGAATTACTGGGTTGTTTTTCATGAATGGATTTCCTTTGGGTCAAGTAAATCTATTTGTGTTTCAGTCAACAAGATGATTATCAGTTGGTGCGGAAACTTGGTAGAGGAAAATACAGTGAAGTATTCGAAGCTATCAACATTACAAACAATGAAAAGTGTGTAATAAAAATACTGAAGGTAAGAGATTTTTCTAAATGAGATCAAAATTAGTGTCAGGCAAATTAAACTTTTCACACATTATGTAAATTCAGTTTTGTCCCATTTCTATTATATAAAGATCTGTTTTGTAAATGTTTTTGATAACTGTTTAGAATAGAATGTTTCGTGACACCTACATATAGTGATTTTTCCTGAATGTTGTCTTTAACCATATAACCATGTACACGTGCGCATGCACGCACACACAAACACACACACACAGGACAAACACACAGATTGGTTGCAATTTTGATAAATTCTTTTGAAAATTTCACTTTATAGCCTGTGAAAAAGAAGAAAATCAAAAGAGAAATAAAAATTTTAGAGAATCTTCGAGGAGGAACAAATATCATCACACTTATTGGAGTAGTTAAAGACCCTGTGGTATGTATTCTCTCAGAATTAATTTATTAGCGGAAAACACAATTGGTTCTGTCAAATTTCCCTATAAAAGAAAAAAACTAGACTTGTAGGTTAAAATAATGGGTTCCAGAATAGAAATGATAATAAATTAGTTATTTTTACCTTTCAGTCCAGAACTCCGGCACTAGTATTTGAACATGTGAACAACACAGATTTCAAGGTGGGTGCAGGTCTTTAAAGATTATTGGATTTAAACTAATTTGAAAATAGAGTGAACCTGATAACTGAGAAATAATGTGTGATGATCACCTGGGACGTAATGTGGAATTAGTGTTAAACTAATTTTGACATCAAAAACCAGTCTGATATTATTTGTATTGTCCAAATAATTAATTTTTAAAAGAATTGTACTAGGTTCACTTTCAATTAAACAGGTTCTGTGGTTGTTAATGAATCTTATCGGAGAAGGGTAATAATACATGGTTAATTAAAGCCATTTGTCAGTCCTTTTCTTCTAAGACAAGGGCACAGAATTATGGCTGTATTTTTTTCCATTTACATTATTTTATATAATATATTTGTATCTGTTTATTGAGTGTATTGTTTCTAACTTCCAGCAATTATACCAGACGCTAACAGATTATGACATTAGGTTCTACATATATGAATTACTGAAGGTGAGTGAAAGTTTATAGTCAAATACAAATGTACATAACAAAAATAAGACTTTCTGTATGACTTTACCAAACAATGCCCGTACGGTAAATCCGTGATGACATCTGCAATAATATGTGGCCTGCAGGCATAAGATTTTAAAAAGTTGTTCAAAGATTTAGCTTGACAAAATCATACAGGCTGTAGAGGCCATGATTCCCTACAATTTCAAAAGGCCACTGCCTGCCTTTGCACTCACATAAGAAAAAAAGATATACAGGCAGTATTTGAGCACCACACAGACATCGCATGGGAAATGTTTAGAAAATAAAGTTCGGATTGTGAAAAAATAGATATTAAGTACAATGTTATTTTAATATATGTTATTTTAATATTTCGATGGGATTGCTGAATTTAGTTAGATCATTCTCTCTCTCTCTCTCTCTCTCTCTCTCTCTCTCTCTCTCTCTCTCTCTCTCTCATGGTTTGATCCGCTTGTTTGTAATGGATATTAGATGGTCTTATTTTAGAATAATTCAAACCATTTTCCTCATTGTAATGAAGGGAACCCAGTCACTTATGACCTTTTAGCTTAAATGTTATGTTGAATCTTATATTATCCGAAGCATTGGATTATTATGCTTTGAACAGTGACATTTTTTTTCACTCTAATTGACATGTTTATTTTGTTTTGGTAATTTACATAACAGTGGTCTTTGTTTATTTTCCCCCAGGCCTTAGATTACTGTCACAGCATGGGGATCATGCATAGAGATGTCAAGCCTCATAATGTTATGATAGATCATGAAAACAGAAAAGTAAGTACACCCAGGGCTTTCTCCCAATCTTTTTCTTTTTTTCCTTGTTATTATAACAAGCGATGTGTTTGTCTTTTGATAAGGTGTTATCTCTGAATTAGAAAGATATAGTTACCTTCTGCATACAAATTTTACAAACTCTGTGCTACTGTTTATAGCCAGCTCTCATAAATGCTTAGAGTTGAGTAAAGAAAAGAAGTTGGTTTGACTTTCACACCAAAATTACAGTCTGTTACGATAATTCAGTTGTTGTCCAATGGAATGGAATTTTGCCCCACCCCCCCTTTTTTTTTTTTTTTTGGTAACAAGAAAGATGTGGCTGTGTTAGACCAATACTTATTTGATTGGATATCTGTGTATTGTTCCAGAACTTAAAGGGATAATAACTCTTCGTTTCGGCCAAAAAATGAATTTTCCTGGAGTAAACAACAATTTTCCCATACTTACCAATGGTTAATGAATCCATTTTTACATTCAAAGTTAGTCCCTGTTTTTTTTCTAAAAAGTTTGGTTTTTTGTTAAAATCTCTTAAGAGTTTTTAACAGAGCATAGCCATTAATGGAGGTCACGTGGTCTAAAGGCAAGCTTGGATAGCAGAATAATAACTATAACTGCCTTTTTTGTGGTAAAACAGAATATATTATATTTCTATGAGTTATTCACAATGTTTTTATTGTGAAATATAGATCTCATACGAAGAGCTTTTATCCCTTTAAGTGGACTAAAATGTGGGACTAATTTTTGGGCTGAAAATAATCTTAAAAAACTGTTAGTCCCGGAAGCATTGTGTTTAATGGTTTTGCTCTTCTCTCTCTCTTCCAGCTTAGGTTAATTGACTGGGGGTTAGCAGAGTTCTACCACCCAGGCCAGGAGTATAATGTCAGGGTAGCCTCTAGGTATTTCAAGGGCCCAGAGCTTTTACTTGATTACCAGGTAGGTGAAGATAAGTGACTTACATTTGAATTTTATTATCATTTTTGCTGAAGAGTCCATAAGCTAATATCTTTGATTTATGTAGGAGTTATTATTTTGTGTCGTGAAAACAAATGACATACATTTGAATGTTATCCCCCCCCTCCCCCTGCAAGTCTATAAGCGTATAGTTTTTGATTTATGTAGGAGTTGTATAATTTTGTGCCGTGTTCTCCCCTGAGTCATTTAATGGTGCTTCACCATCTTATATTGTCACTGCCCTGTCCTGTATCTTCCACTCAACATTGGCAGGTGCAACTGACTTCCTGGAGGTCCCTTCTACCAATAATGTTCACCTGTTTTAATATTTATATGTAAAATTTCTGTCCCTATCAACTAATGAAATCAGATTAAATGTCCTCAAATATTTTGTTATCGACACAGTCTCTTCATTCAGCATGCATTTAAATCTTAATTAATCACCGATTTCCAGTATGTGTCTAATATTTGAAAAGTTCCCTTCTGTCATAGGTTTTAAGTCAGCCTACTTTTGTTTGTAATGCTTTCTTAATGCTTTTCCAGATGTACGACTACTCGTTAGACATGTGGAGTCTAGGCTGCATGTTTGCCAGTATGATATTTAGGAAAGAACCTTTTTTTCACGGACATGACAATTACGACCAGGTGAGAGATGTCATCAAGGTTTTGATTTGTTTGATAAGTCAGCTTGTAAACGAGCAAAGAGACTATGTTTCCATTTACTAATGTTATTTGAAAAGTAGCTTTTGATCATTCAATATTGAATGTTAAAATAGTGTTTATGGAAGTAGAATATCATTGGTAGTGCAGTTTTTATCCACAATTTGTTTTGTCTTTAATGCATAGGTGATTTTATGTTGTGCTTATTGAATTGTTGTCTCTTTACAGCTTGTACGCATTGCAAAAGTCTTAGGAACAGAAGAGCTTTATGAATACATAGACAAATATCAAATTGAGTTAGATCCTAGGTTTAATGATATTTTAGGAAGGTGAGTTTAGTTTTGACCAGTTTGTGTAGGTTATTGCATTAACAGACAACTTTTGATTAAAAAAGATAAATGTTTAACTTGTTGAACAAAGTTACACATATCTTATTTACAAATGGTTGCTAAGGAAAATGGCATGATGATCACCTGGGACGTAATGTGGAATTAGCGTAAAGGCTGATTTTGACATCAAGAACCAATCTGATATTTTCCTAGTAACCAACTCAAATTTTGGAATTACATATTATGGCAGTTAGTTTTTTTAGTGTGTTAATATAATTCTGCCAATGTGTTTAACACATTTTTATTGAAAATGATGTTTTTGCTCTCCTTTCACAGACATTCAAGAAAACGTTGGGAAAGATTTGTCCACAGTGAAAATCAACACCTAGTTAGTCCAGAAGCTCTTGATTTCCTAGACAAGTTACTGAGGTACGACCACGCAGAGAGATTAACGGCAAGGGAAGCAATGGAACATCCATATTTCTGTAAGTGATGAGTATCTATGCGTAAACTACATGACTCGGACACCTTTGGGCTGGAATATTTGTTAATGATTTGTGAAGGTTGGGAGTTTTGTAATGTTCATCAAGTTACAGCTAATACTATACATGAAATTTGGGTTACAAGCCTTAAGGTGATGAGTTATGCAGTATTTACTGTATTATATTGGTAGCAGTGATGATGATGGTGTTAAAAATTGTTTACAGGTATAAAATTGAAAAAAAAAACAATGCTGCATTGTAATGCACATTACCTCCAAAACCTTGTTGTTGGCTGACACTGGGATCTTTTAAAGGTGTGGTAGTGGCTTGAAGAGAACTGACAAAATAAGATGTTAGAAATTTTCAGTACCTAATTTTTGAGAATAAAAGTTCACTGGAATTGAAATGTAGAAGAAAAAAAAAAGATGCCAGAGTCCAGAGAACACATTTTATTATCAGAGATTATGACACAATATTCATGATTGCGTGTGGCAAGTTGTGCAGAATTTTCAGTAGTCCCATTCAGAGTTTTGTTTTATAACTGTTGAAAAAAATTAGGCTTGCTGTTCTTTTACTTTCTTTGGTTTGTGTAGTCATCAGGGCTCACTCCAGCACAGTGAAATATAGCCAAATGCTAAATTCATGGCAATTAGGCTACAATGACTTGTCATGCTTTCAGTTGAAATTGATCCTGGTTTAACTATTTTGATTCATCCCTAAGGATTTTTAGCTTGGAGTCTGCTACAGCAAATCTTTACTGAAAGTCCACTTTTTGATCACACTCTGTTATTAATGACATTTGTCTCCAAACAGCACAATTTGCAAACATTTGTATAGAGAAGGTAGCATCCACCTAAATCAGGGATTATACCCCAAAAGACAGCTGTGTACATTTGGCATATCTATTGGCTTATTGCACTATTGTCAAATGCAGGGTTAGTTATAACAACAAAGAGTGTGGAGTTAACAACATAGCTTGGAGGATAACTGCATCTTTTCTTGGTAAAAAAAAAAAAAAGACCCAGAATGCATCATGTGATGAAGAAACTTGGGACGTAATCATCTTAAACCAGTTGCAAAACTGTTGATGATACTAATCAATACTTCTGATGCTGCATCTCTGTATCAAATATTGAAAAAAATCTCCATAGCAATTAATATCCAGTCTAAGTGAATTATAAACAGGCATGTGTATGTTTTGAAATGTATTATGATGAGATTTTGGTGTTTCATAATCTGGGGGGGGGTGCTAGTCAACTTCTTCCACATTGGTTTACTGAAGAGACATTCAAAACAAACATCCCAATATTAAAGAAATAAAAGGAGCCATTTAACTGACCAAGGCTGTGCAGGGGTATGGGGCACTTGGACAGGTGTCCAAATCATTATTAGCGTCTTTTATAGCTATTGGACTGTATAACATGTTGGATTTGTCCCTGATGTTTTTATATTGGGTAAACCATAATAAATTTGTCACAGTAAAAATATTACCAGGGTGTTTGATGTTTTACTTGCAACACGGATGGCACCATATGTTGTTATGATATATTTCTCGCCGTTGATATGTGAAAGTTGCATCATTTATTCAAAAGCATAGATTAGGAATATATATCTTTGTCTATATTATATTACCGCAATGAATCATACGTGTTCTTGGAATGACATTATTTTATTATTTATTATTATTATTATTATTATATTATTTTTTTTGGGGGGGGGTAAACATAGAACATCAAGTACTCCCGCCCCTTACTAAATTTATATATATATTTTGTTTAATGATCAGTTACCATGGCACCAGTGGTAGGAATGACTTGTTTTGTACTAAACCTGCTAAAACATTTAATATGATACTGGTATTTTATTATCAGAACATCCTGGATTTGAATAGGCACAGGATATTTTTAACATGAACCATTGGGAACCATTGACCTAAAGCACAATAACCTTTTTTTAAGAAGTTGGGGGGCCTTAAGAAAAAATTAAATTTAGCTTTGTGCAGTATGTGGAGTCCTTGGCAAGGTCAGTGAATTTGAATTGGGCGTCAGTGCTAATGCCTTTGTTGTTAAGCAAATAATAGTATATTTGTGACAATGTGCGGTAAGAGTTAGTTGGTTACAGTGACAAAGACTCTAGTGCATGTCTTGTTGTTGTTGGCACAGCCATGTTTATATCAAAAGTTAAAAGATTGTTTGCTCATGGGTCATTAGAAAACAAAGTGTGCTTATTTAAGCAGCATCAACAATGTTGTCGGCCTTTCCTTTGGCAGTGTAATGACATTAAGGAAAATTTTGTTAGCTTTGGTAGTTGCTTTTTAAATGTGTGATCCTGGTGAGAATATTAAGATTTACATTCAGAAATAGGCAAGACGCCTAAAAAAAAAAAACGGGAAAAAAAATCCTGCAGAATGTAACTATTTAGATTGATGCATGTGTGTGCAGCGCGATGGTAGAAAGTGTGTGTGTCTATGTTCTTGATCATTTGTAGTCTTGTTTTTATTGTACTGCACACTTTCTTGTATATCGTTGTGTCTAATGGGTTAGAATCATAAGAAAATAGTTTATTTTCCAAATACTCCATAAACTCAGACCTGGGCAGAGAGGATTTAGAACTGAACAAAATATAATTATCATAATTTGGGTAATTTTTTCCAGCGTTATTTATTAATTTATTCATCATGATACCCATTGCTGCATTTCAATATTTCAGTCCCTATTGTGAGAGAACAGGGTCGTTTGTCGTCGTTGTCTGGTCATGCATCGCCCACTAATATCACAAACTCTGGACAGATGCAAGGTAAGACTGGGGTGCAGGCTGGGAAAGGGGGCAGCTGTTTGGGTTATAGTACGGGAGGTTTTTATCCAAGTCAACTGATGTCATTGAAACTAAATTCACAAAAGAGAAAAAATAAAATAGAAAAAATTGAGGCATATGGTACCTGTAGAAAAATTGTTATTGTTATTAGCCTTGAGTAATAACAGTGATGATAATTATAGTATTACTTTTTCTTTATTTATTTTTACCTAATTGAAAAAAATTTACGTATGTCTAATGGCTTTTGATAAAATACATCCATTTGGTATTTAATGTGATTTGAAAATACAAATATCTGGACAGTAAAATATCAATAGTTATTTTGCATGCATTCCACAAGCACAAGGCACAAACATACCAAATATTTGGAAAAAAAGACGAAATAGTAAACTAGATTAAAGAAAAATAAGGTTGTGCATATGTTTTATAATTTCAGAAACTGGACTAGCTCCCAACTCTGTGTCTGGCGCCGCCACCCCCGTGATGCCTCCCAGTGTTTCCCCCCTCCCAGCTAATACAAGTGCGGCTCAGTCTTGAAGTCTGCAGCAAAAATCAGGAAGCCAAGGGATTGCCGAGGTCTTTTTGACGACCCCTGGTGTGATCCAAGCAATGACGACAATGTGTCACCAACTATTTGGTTGACTTACAACTGTTTTGCTGGGGCGCAGTAAAGGGTGGCTGGAGAGATGGATCTTATCATTATTATTATTTTTTTATTATTATCTTTAGAGTAACATGAAAATGTATCAGTAAAGTGTTCACAAATACAGGCCTCCAGGAAGGACACAAATTTATTCTGGGGTTAGTTTGTCAACACTGGAACAATGTGCTCTGTATTTCATCATTTAACCCCCTTTCCTACCCTCCTCTTGGTTCTAACCTTTATAACCAAATGTAACAATGGTTCAGCCACTCTGAAGTCTTATTTTGCAAAAGGTGTGGGAGCTGGATTGGAGCATCGCACAGTAATGGCTGCAGTCTTCAAACTTTTGTGAACAACTTGTTGAGAAAAAAATCTGCTTCACTTGGAATATGTGGCCTGCACATTGGGGTACGAGGGTGTGCTGGTATTAACTTTGTAATTGTAATTAGATCTCGTATAGTTCATAGTCTTGTAAGGGTGTCCATGTCAAAGCACAGAGTAGATTTTCTCTCTTATACCTCTGCAGTGTATAGAAGTTTAAAGCCACAATGCAACATTTTCAGTTGGAACTTGTGGCAATATTAGAACTACCCCACACCCCCTAACCAGTTTTTGCTCACCCCATTTAAGTTTACTAGGCAGTTAGAAGTGTTTTGTTTAATAATAAGTATCATTATAACTATTCATTTATTTAACTTTTGAAGTTGTCTAAGCTTTGATGAAGAAAATGGAAAGAACCCTGCAGCAAGCTTGAGTCTTGGATGTTCCTTCCATTGATTAAATGTATTATTCAATAAAACAGTAAGGTCATGTCTTGTGTGTAAATAATTAATAAACTCTCATGACTCAACCAAGAGTATCTTGGATAATTTATTAGCCTAAGGATGAAAATTTTAGAATGGGCAAGTATGATGAAGATCATATACAGTAATCCAGTATCATTTTTTAATTTTTATTTATTTATTTATTATAATTATTATTTTTACAAAATATTGGTTTTAGAGTGCAATTTAATCGTTGTACCAAAGTGCATATTTCCCCAGCCATTATTGGTATGCAAATGCGACTTGTGGAATAAAGGGTTATAGGAGGGGCAATGATACTTCAGTGTTATAAAACTTTTGGTTGAAACTGCAGTGTTTAAATAAGATAAAAGAATTCAATTTCAATTCTGTGCCTAGCATATTGTAGATAAAGGTTTCTCTGTTGAGGTATCTTCTCCAACAGGTTGTTCAGTTCAATAAAATGTCAACACATCAAGTACTTAAACTGGTGCGTTTTGTTTTTTCTATCTAGACTGTTATCTTGCCGCTGACTAAGGTACTCTTTCTGGGTCATGCAATCAAAATAATGTAACTTGTAACCAATGAATTGTTTAGTATTCACCTTCGGCTTCTTTTTATCGTGTAAACCTCTGTTTTCGTTTCTGTCTGGGCGTTTACGGAAGGAGATGCGGACACTTAAAAGCCAGTAAATGTTGCCTTAAAATATTGTGCGATTTATTTGATGTGACGGCACTCTGTGTTTTTATATTCGCTTAGTGGTGATAACGGTGTCTATTGGACGTAATTGGTCTAATTGCTAAAATGCGAATAAGTTAAAATGTCGACTACAGCGCTTGTTTGCGTGTAACTAAGATAAAACCACACTTAGTAGTCGCGCCAAGAGCATCATTCCTCTTTTCCTTCTTAACAATAATACGCATATTTACATTATGAATAAGTAAGCAGAAGCATCGCGTACTCGTTAATCATAGTGTCATGTGTCCTTATGTTTACAATATCCATGCTCTTGAAGCTACGTTAGTGACCGACACACGAGGTAAAACCCAAGAATGAAATGCCAAACAACAATAGTGATATTAGCATATGTATAGATTATTGAGCTCGTCAGCCAATCAGATTGTGACCTAAGCCATATCCCAGGTGACGTACACTGCGCAGCACGCATGACGCAGCTTACCGGATGTCAGTTTACGGCTTGGAAACCGTATTCGTGCGCGTAATAAAGTTCCTTGGAAACTGATTATTTCATTTCGGTTGGTGTCGATATCCTTCTAAACAAAGTTATTACCTTAAAATATCATTTTCATAAGAATTCAAACAAAAAAACTCACAAAACTTGAGAATTGTTTTCGTTTATTGACTAACGGCAAAGCGCGCGCTTGTATCCGTACGCTGTGTAAACAGACCCATGACAACTAATCAAGTCCATTTGTACACACACTGTGGCTCACTTGACAACTCTGATAGCAAAGCGAGAGGAGCGTGTGTGAGAGAGCTCCACCACAAGAATATATTAGGACTAACAATATACTATAACTGACTTTAAAAAGACTCAAAATGTTCAAGAATACCTTCCAGAGCGGATTCTTATCAATATTGTACAGTATTGGAAGCAAACCTCTACAAATTTGGGACAAAAAGGTGAGTTGAAGATTCCACTGTATTTCCATGGTGATGGATGACAACAACATAGCCGGCTGGTGTATGCTAAGATATCTTGTGATCAGGGTGGTTGTTTCAGCTAATGGATAATATGTCAACGAGTTTTACACATTTTTAACGGCTCAGATATATTATTGTGAATATAGACATGTTGTGTTAGTACTAGCAACGACGATTGTTATGGGTGGTGAATCCCCGTGGCTTATTCGATGGACTTCCCTATATCGTTTAAACTTATTAATTTTGAAGAATAACCCTTATGTTTTTCTCAAATTATTTTTATAAACACTTGTTTATCCACGTTGTCATCAATTAACAATTTTGCTGGTGTTTTACAAGAGCTTTATTTAAAATTAACCAGTAGTTCATTTTATTTGAATTTAAACTAAAACCAGCGATCAATTTTGATGACAGCAATCGATTTTTATTTTTAAACATATTGACTTTTCAATTTCAGGTGCGAAATGGTCACATCAAACGAATCACAGATAATGACATCCAGTCACTAGTGTTAGAAATTGTAGGAACAAATGTTAGGTAAGTGCGAAGTTGATTGCGGTCGCCATTTTGGTTTTGAACTAACAAAGAACATGGCGTATATCCAATATGGCAGCCTCCTACAAACGGGCATGATATGATATATTTAAATGATTTAGAGTAAAAATTTACCCTTTTTAGAAGCTTATTTATGTCAGGCAATGGCTATAACAACAAAAATTTATATCTTTATTTCCATATTGTTGTAATTGTGTTTAAAATTGATGTGGCATTGGTTACCATACATAAACATTGTTCGGCGGGAAAATGAGTGAAATTTACGTGTTGAGGATTTTATACTCAATTCACGAAAGTGATTATTAGGAAACATTATGTCACCAACATTAATTTATATCCTTTCTTATCTACCTTGCAGCACAACATATATCACATGCCCAGCGGATCCAAAGAAAACACTTGGAATCAAGCTTCCCTTCCTAGTTATGATCATCAAAAATTTAAAGAAATATTTCACATTTGAAGTTCAGGTAAGTTTACATTTTAATATATTTGTTTTTTAAATGTTTTAAGTCGTAATTAATTTTTGTTAAGTTGTGACATTGAGGTTTTGAAATAATTATATTGTTGAAATTAATAAAAAACAATTATTTATTGAAATGTATTTTAGCAGTTGTCACTTTTTACATTGTTTTGAAATAAGTAAAACAGCATGTTTTCTGTTTCTAATTTGTGATCACAATCCGTCTTCTAGGTTTTAGATGACAAAAATGTGAGGCGGAGATTTAGGGCTAGCAATTACCAGAGCACAACTAGAGTAAAACCCTTCATTTGCACGATGCCAATGAGGCTGGACGACGGCTGGAATCAGATCCAGTTCAACCTCTCAGATTTCACAAGGCGTGCTTATGGTACTAACTACATTGAGACACTCCGAGTTCAGGTGAGTTTTCGGCATGTTATTTATTTATTTATTTATTTCATTTTTTATTTTTTGAACATTTTTGGCATTAAAATGATATGACAAACATTAGCTCTAATTCTTTCTTTAAAAAAATCACAATCAATAAGAAGTTTTAGTTTTTATTTGAGATTTCAAAGAAATTTAAGTCAGTTTCATACAATTGCTCTGTCAGTTTGATGGAAAAGCTTAAAAAAATCCCAGTGCACTGTTGCTTTCAATATTGAAAAAAAATTGCTAATTCGTTTTGTTAACATTTTTTTTAGATTCACGCAAACTGCAGGATCCGTAGGGTATACTTCTCAGACAGACTTTACTCAGAAGACGAGCTACCTGCAGAGTTCAAGCTTTACTTACCAGTGCAGAAGAAATAAGATGATTCCATCGTGCTAAAAGACTTTATACATTCAATCTAGCCAAATGTTAAAATTATTCAGCGTCATTATGGAGACAAGGAGAACTTGTCATATTCTCATTTTTTTCAACTTTCAATTCACATATTCAGGACTTGTTGCCCACCTTAATAATTTGGATTGTTGAAACAGTTACATTGAAAAAATTTGGAGATTCATAGCAACTTGGAGACTATAATCAAAGCAAACGTGAGCTGCAAGATCTCAAGGCATGCCTTTTTTATATTAAGAAAAATATGTTCTGGATTAGTTAGTTGACTGGCTGAAAGAAGAAAAATTGCAATGTGACATCTTCCAACTCATGACAAAGCTAGACAGTAGACATTATTTATGTAGATTCTTAGTCGATGCCAATGTGATGACTTGCAGGGAAGCCTCCACTATGTTCCATTATTAAATGATGCCACAGGAATTTGACAGCATAGCAATTTAAAGCTTAAATGACATTTTTATTATATACCTAAGTTTTTTGAGGTATGCTGCCAAGTTCCGAGTTTATCTAGGGGGTATGTTGCAATATGTTTCAACTTGTCTCTTATTATTTTGACTTTTTGGATGTTGTATTGTGGCAACATCAATGCGTTTGTACAGTTTCACTCACAAAAAATGTAATATTATCATTTATTTCGTACAACTGTATATAATAATAGTAAATAAACCCTTTTTATGCCAACAGTATTATAGTAGTTGGGTGTGTATTTCAGATAAGTTGGAAGAAAAACAGGGGGGAGGAGTTCAAGACGTCGTGGTCAACCGTTCCAAAGTATACTTTTGTGGTGAAAAATAGAAAAAAAAAGAAGATATTTTATAAGAACTGCAGATTAGTGTACGAGGCACTGATACATCAGTAATTATTTTGAATGTGTCAACCAAAACTTAAAATGATGGCATGATTTCGATTTGCACGGTCGTCGATTTGTTATGGAAAAGATAAAAGAATGCATCAGTTCCTATTCCATGAAATTTCAAAGTAGATCGTGCATATTGTGGAACAGAAAAACAAGTACGCTTTACCGCAAGACTCTAAGCCTTGTATAGAACAGCGGAGCTTAGAGGGGAAGGGGGAGGGGGTAATGGTAGGCTAATTCTTTCATGGCACAACAAGGATTTTTAAATAATAATAATAATAATAATAATAATAATAATAATAATGCTGACAGATTAGTTTGAATGACTGGGCGTTGACCAAAGGCCTTGCTTTTGTGTTATAAATATGACTATAATTTTAGTTTTCATATCTTCAAAATGCTGCCTGATATTTTATTTTTAACAAATAGGTTTATCATCTTTATGAACTAGCGGTTTTCAGTTTCTATTTACAAAAAAGGAGTAAATGTCATGCCTTTTCTATTCAACAAGTTCATCCACGTGAATTTAATGAGCACATCCTTATGCTAACTTTGTGTAAATGTGGTGATTTTTGGCGATGTCTTTTTATAATTTAACACACATTTCTTTGCCTCTGTGCAAATCACAGTGAAACACCGGATTTGAGGGGGTGGACACTTCAAATCTGAATTAATGTTATAAAATATAGATAGCCTATTTTCAATGCTATTTTGTATTTTCTGAACGATTAATCAGGTAGGAGCATTGTTTACAGCAATGTAAACCTGTGAGGTGTGGTCATTTGTAAACAAAAGCACATGGAGCTTGGGTGGGACAATCTTTTTGGCCAATGTTGTAGAGTTGCAGATGATTGACAGCCAGGTATAGGTCACTTGTATGAAACTTGATACTTTCCGTGATTTCAACAAGTACTGGACCAAAAGTTTTGCGTGTCGTCATCATAGATCTATGGAAGTTAATTCCTGTCAGATGAAAAGATTTGGACAATAGCCTACATTATATTCCACATCCTGTTTGTTACGTGACGTGTATTGTACTGAAGTATAAAAAAGAAGTCACGACTGTAAGTGATGCTTTAAATATCAAAATGCATATATTCTTTTTTTATTCGTACTTGTCTAGCGTCACGCAAGTAATAAGTTTTCTTCTCTGGATTTTATTAAAAATTTTGAACCCAATAACTCATAAACGGTTTAAAGCAGTAGATCGTGATTTCCTCAACGGTTTTGGATAGGGTATACGTTGAAGATATGGATACGGAATGATTTCAGAAATTTTTAGGAAAATTCCTGTTTGCTGTATAAATATAGGATTCTCATGGTACACCTTTAACCACCTTCTACGTGTCTGGCCAATTAATAATTGTTATCCTTTGTAGATGATGAGTAATTTTTTCTTTTTTCCCGGCAAAGCGTGATGATCAAACACGTTACCTTTAATGTGAATTTTGACCAGCGTTAATTCGAGATATTCTGGTATTCTGTAGAATCTGTTTTCAAGTCAGGCAAACTACATATTTTAAGGTGTGTCACTCGTTTCCGTGCTAGGTCCCAATCTTTTTTCACACTTTACATTTTGCCCATTGAGGATATAGTTATTTATAATTTATTATTATTATAATGGTTTCAAGCTACTGTTAAATGCATATTATGATGATTTCCAAAGATATACTTTTAGTTGAAATCCCCTGAAGAAAATAAAAATTGTTTGAGAAACAACACATACGACCGTTTATAATCAGAGCCTCCGGGCCGAAACAGCTGTAGGGACTTTTTAAATTAAAATGGAGAGAACAGACTAATTTGTTCGGTTCCTAGTCTTTATATGTGTGTTTCCCGACACTTTTTCTAAAAGCGAATATATATATATATATATATATATCCCGACACTTTTTCTAAGTGCTAATAGACCCTATTTGAAAACGTCGCCACGTCTTAGCCAGTTATATATATATATATAT